TAATAGTCCCCGTGAACTCACGGTTTTTTTTTCATACTCTGCTCAACTGTCACGAGCACTAATCCAAGACGGCCATACCTTTAATCATGCTGACGTCATTTGCTCCATCTCCAATGGCTAGTGTCACAGCCTGCAGATTGTTTTTTACCAGCTGCACCACCAGCGCCTAAAGTTTCAAAGAATACATAAGTTGCACTCTTCCCTATAAAATTCTCTAGCAAAACAGAGTTAGCGGAAATGAGGAAACAAATGAGTGCAGTGAAAGGGAATCGAGCCGCTTTCCAACATGACAACGATGCACGTGTCTGAGTTGTCTTGGGGAGAACGCCTTGAGACAGGCTAACCAGGAAAAACTATCTAAGAAATTTAAACTGACAGGTAAAATGGTTTAAGAATGTACCTTTTGTAGAGGGGTGACTCTGCAACATATTACCGCCTTACAAAGACACGCTAACGACAGGAATTCTTTCTCTAAACTTTCGTGAAGTGCAAATGCCTGAAATTGAGAAAAGTAAATAAAATATAAATGACTGCATCGCACTTACAACAACCACCCGAAGTACATGCAAAAACTGAAGGCCAAAAAAATAAAATGAGAGAGAGAAAGTTTCACTTACTAAACTTTTTCCAGGAATAACAAGTCCAAACGTTTCTTCTTTCTTTTCTTTCTGAGAGCACAAAAATACAAATTAAAAAATAAATGTACATTTCTCAGTTATCAGTGACTCCAACGAAATGAATCACCTTAATAAGCACGAGTCATTGATTACAGGAATTAGCAGGAATTGCGAGCGAAAATGTTCGATGGATTATAACTGGCGATATCTACACGAAACGTGCACGCGCTCGTTGTTATCACCTGTGTAGAGGTTGGTATCTCCCCCGCAGGAGTATCCTTGTAAGATTTGTACGATAACACTTCGACGTCGACATCCCTGAGGCTGTTTTCTTTCTGTGCTTTCGTTGTTGAAGCTCCGCCCAAAATCTTGTTCTTGTATTCAGCTATAGCCTGCTGAACGGATTCTAGAGTTTCTCCATTGATGATAAACACTTCCGTCATGCCATCGGTCAGCAGATGACACGAGTAGCCAATGTTGATGGCTGTCTCTGTAAGGAATAGAAAACCGCAAGAAGATAACCAAAGAATAGATAAACAATACCAACGGAGTAAGTCTTCACGAGCCTTTAAGTCTACAACTGCGGGCGTTTAACTCTGCCAGATTCTGTTACTCTCCCTGGATGGGATGCTGTAGCCCTCAGCAGGCTATCTGCCGGCCGCCCTCCCCCACCCCGCCCTTCCCCGTACTCATTTAAACCAGCGAGCGGCAACGATGACGCGGCTGTGCCTTGCACAAAAAAAGTACAAACTTACATTGAACTGTTTATCTAACATTTATCATTACAGATAAGGTTTCGTATCGGTGCANACGCAAAAAAAAATGAAATTCCTGTGAGTCAATCTTCTCCTTTCATACAGAACAAAGGAATCTTTCGTAGGAAAAAGGATTTCTGGTAAATGCACAAAAAAAAAAGACGTGAGTTGTCCACCCATTTTGATTAGGTCAACTGTACAGTGCGACTCTCTGTTCCTTGCTTGCACAACTCGGATATAAGCAACTAAACGCCTTGAATACGCTACTTTGACATCACTTTAAATTTTTACATCCAAAAATAAATTCACCTCTTGAACTAGCTCGTCTCTATTGTCCATGGCCAAACTGGAAAAAACAAAACAAACAAACAAACAAAAAACAAAAACAAAAAACAGGTTACAACAAATGACTCCACGTACAAGTAGTTTTAGCTTTTAGTTCTTCATCGGAGGAGAAAGTCAAACATTACTCTTACCTCGCCTCTTTGTATTTAGTTTCCCATTCCTTGTACGCGTCCAGAGGTATGTCTTTGTAAGCTGCTACCAAGGTGCGTAAACCTTCGGCTGCAAAAACCTAAGATACAAATTGTTGGCAGTGAGGGCAAAACCTACATACGACTGCATGAAAATGAAAACGAATAGGCCATTTCTGTGTTGCCTTTTGCCTATGTATCAAAATGAATTTTCGTGCGAAACTTAATATGGAAACGTGTTTCACCCACCCCCTTCAGATTCATTTTCATGCAAATCAAGCTCATTTTCATATGAAAGTTTTTGCACAAGGACTCGTTTTGAAACAGAGGCACAAGCTAACTCGAAAATGGCCTATTAAAGTGGCACTCCGATGTAGGGGTTGAAAACTTACGTTCAAATGCTGCATCGTTTTCGTCATGAGCGGTTTACAAGAATGATCGAGAAGTTCGTAAACGATAGTATCTGCAAGACGAAGTTATAACATAACAATCACGTTCGGTCAAATAAAAGGTCTAATAACATACATGAAAAAATTACTCACTTCTGATTGGCTGAGAGCAGTGCAGTTCAAGTGTAACACCAGTGCAAAAAGTGTAACACTTGTGCAAAAAGTGTAACACCAGTGCAAATTACACATCGTAATTCGGGATTATGATTGGCTGAGAGAAAATAAGAAATTTTCGAAGCCAATGATATTATGTAAAATGATGAGAAAAATTTTGCGCGGAAACTTTGAAAAAAAGTTTTCTCAAATGAGAAAAAATGGCTTCAAGGAAGGTATTCCGGCACTTCCTCCACGTAAATTTTTTTCCTGTTTATATTATTAATAAGTAATCATACGGTTTTTCTCGTTCAATTTGGAATTAATTTGCACTTGTGAGTTTTTCAAAAGCTGAAATTGAACTCGCCGAAGCGGCTCGTGCAATTTCAGCTTTTTGAAAAACTCACTCGTGCAAATTAATTCCAAATTGAACTCGAAACCGTATGATTACATNTGCAGCTGACACAGTTGCCCTAGACATAATTTTTTAAAAAGAAAATCCAATTCAAAGACTAGAGTACAAAAACCATACACTATTTAACACCAAAATAGCCAAATCGATATCCTATTTATGACCAAAACGGGTGAAAACCATACCCTTTGGGGGCGCACTTACCCATATAGCCCATTTAAGAGAGTATCCCCGGCCCGGGCGTCTCCTACAGCTCATGGACAGATGGTTTTGATTTTAATACTCACCGACATCCGTTTTCGCTCATTGTTGAAATCCAGAATGGCTAATAACTCGTACATCTCCTGAAATAGTGAAATGTGAAATTCACAAGAACGAAACAAATAAACAACTAGTCTAGGACTACCCACAGAGACAACCTCTCTCCAAAGGATGTGACATATAGAGTACAAGCGGTTGACACTTTCTTTCTGTAGCAATCAGCCTCTTCACTTGCAGAGCCGTGGAAGCAACGTGGCCGGGTGGTTAGGACGCCGGACTTGGAATTCGGAGGTCGTGGGTTCAAATCCCGCTCTGGCCATTAAGCTGGAGTTGTTTCTCAGTAGACCCTAGTTCAAATTGAACTCCTCGGTCATGCTTGTAATTAGCCAACTGGTCTGCCACCAGCCGTTGGGATTTTTACGCCTATTATGTTTATTTGAAATATCTCTTTCTTTCAGTCAAAGTGGCACGCCTGAGAACTAGCTAGGTGTAGCTAAGTGCATTGTCCACTATAAACAACATTTGAAGATTTTGCTAGTGTGCAGCCCTTCAAATAAAGTCTGATCTCCATGTGGTACTGTGTATTACAAAGTGGCGGTATCATTTAATTCCGTGGATGAATCCCTAAAGTGGGTCCATTCAAATAATAGCTATGGAGCAACATGTTCATGTTGTGCTGTTTGTAATTCAGCGGTGAAAGAGTTAACAGAAAATAATGAAGCCAGGAAAGGGTATCTCCTACAACGAGGAATTTCTTCTTGCCATTGTAGTCTCTCGATAATCTCAAGAAACAAATGAGAACAGCGAAAAAACTATTGCTCACTGACCTGTTTCCCTAACACATCAATGGTGATAGTGGTGGGTGAACGTTCCTAAAACAAAATCAAATGTCAAAAATTAGACTTAAGCAGATTACAAGGAAAAAAAACTATTTCCAGATGATAGGGATCATTGTGCAGATATATGATCTCTTGACCAAACTAGACTTGATTCCATAGCATTGCTACACGACATGTAGCAAGATTTAACCTCCGCCATTTTTATGACCTATGAAGCTAAAAGTTCGTTACCACAAAGGTGAATCCAAAGTTCCTTGCAGCCGTGACCAGAGCTGCTTCGTCGGGAGACTGGGCCTGATACTCCAAATTACCTACAAGAACAACATGTCGAGAATACCGGTCAGGAAAATAGAACAAAACCATCCTGATCAACCACCTCAGCGTTCGTAATAATAAGGGTCGGGGGAAAGCCAAGGCTACTATATACGAAATTAAATGTAACAAGACCAAACCAAGAGCACAAGGAAAAAAATAGGTACCCAAAGGGTACATGTGTGGGATACAAACTCATTTGCATTAACGGACACGAGCCAACGACAATAGTGTGGGATACCACAGGTACCCCACAAAAAAACTATGTTTCACAAACAAAACTCTTTGTCATGAACGAGGTGAGTTTGTCGGTGCTGTTCCGTCTCTATCTCACCTAATCGTAGGCATACTACTCTTCTTTTTTTGTCTCCTTATACATCTTTCGTGTTATTCTACCTTAGTACATGTACACTGCATGTGTATTACTTTAAGGCTTCTTACAATTAGAAGGAATTTTGTAAAGTGTAAAAACAAAACCAAACACTGAAACAAAAACGACTTTAATAAATCGCGACATTGCCACAAAGCGATATGCCACGAAGTCAGAAGTGGATTATTTGCGAGTTAATTCCACTGTAAAAACAAGCCGTCCAAAGGACTCCTGGACACCCATCTGGCTAGACGCCTGCTTCCCGACACAAATACACAAAAAGACGAAAGTTGTTACCGTTGTTTGACTCAACCATAACTGTATGACAGACGGCTAATAAACGGAACATCTCATGGCAATCCTGCAAAAGAAAACGTCAAAATAATTACTTTGAAAGTACAACATATTTTAGTCAAATAAACACACGTTTCACTGCCTCGACAACCAAGTTCCTCACAAGTTACTCCCTGGAGTTTTAACTGTCTCACAGTCTACCCCTGCCAATTTCAAGGAAGAAGAGGAGGAGTCCCCTCAAAGCACCTCTGACATGACAGAAAACTTAGACAGACAGACAGAAAGACAGACAGACAGACAGATAGACAGACCGACACAGACAGACAAATAGACAGGTGGACAGACAGACAGACAGACAGAGTGCTATGAGGCCGTTAGAAAGAAAAACGCAGACGCAAACCAAACAAAAAAAATTAACAGAGCTAATAGAATTCACTTTCAGGAAAAGATCAACCTCCAGGTTAATGACAAGTTAGGCTTAAAATCGAGCAATTTCTTAAAGCAAAACGCCCTAACATGTACAGAAACACGTCTCTTATGAAATAAAGACGACACGGGTGACTGATGGTTAAAAGAACCAAACCACCACAACCAGAAGAACAAACAGGGACAGCTAATTTAAGTTAACAGTGCATACCTTATTGCCTACGTCTATTTCATCCATCAAAGTTTTGTCATTGAATTTAAATTTTCCGTCAGCATAAGGATTCTTGGAGAAGTCCACATCTGGTGCCTGAGCAATGATAAACAAGGACATCACAAGCAAGAACTTCACATCATATCGGACATATTGGACTTGTTATAGTTAGTTCATGCACATAATTATGAATTTTCAGGGAAACAAGCGCATGTTCTGGTTAGAATCCCGTCTCCAAGAATGGACCTTTCATATAAAAGAATCCTTTGCAAACTCATGAAAATATGGGACCCCAAACTTGCAAATTTTTACGAAGAAATGTAGGCCAGCGGACAAGCTTTGCAACGGATTCTCAAGACACTTTGCATACTTACTGAATTTAGCATGACAAATCGAGTGACGAGGCTTATTTTAGCTTATTTTTTGTTTGAATGAAAAGATTGGAAAAGCATGACATCGGTAAGAGGTCCATTGACTGAGCCCAAGCTTTTGAAGACGTGGCTACGTAACCCTATATGACATACAGTCAATCCTCTATTAGGCAGCTCTCCGTTAAGCCATCACCCCCTATTCACTTTTCAAATTCCCGAAATTCACTTCATCCATTGACTACATGTATTTGACTTCAATTAAGGGGTTACCTCTATTAAGCGGACACGGTCACCGTTCGGACTTCCCAATTGGCTAAACTTTGGTTACTTCAGTGGTGAATTTAAAAATTAAAAATCACTTCCAAGGTAAGAACATAAGGGATTAAATTAAAATCTGTATTCAATGTTATCTCTTACGCCTTCCTCTCTGATAGATACTGAGCTAACAAGCGTTTCTCCAGGATTCCCTGCACTTTCGCCCTCAATGTGACCTAAAGAAAACCATACCTATAAATTTGAGACTACATACTTTTACAAATAATTCAGGTAAAGTTGCATTAAAACTATTAATTTCCCATGGAAGCCAAGCACTTCATATAACTGTAGCTTTCAACTGATTAAAGCGAAAATAAATTCAGTGACTATTATGAATATCAGTTTATCTATAGTATATTTGTTTAGTAACCGACTCAGTTTAAGATGCAGTTTTGCAGATTTTAAAGCAAACACTCTTCAGTAATGTTCATGAATTACATTATAAGAGAATTAGAAAAAGTATTAGAAAGTTATTTCCTGATTTTGGGCAATTACACCTTTTTCAAAACAAGTTTGCTGACAGTCAAGGTGAGGTATCACAGGTTATTTCTTATAAAACTGTTAAAGTTTTAGTTTTATGATTTTAAGCCATGGTGTATTGTTCAACCTCAATTTCTTCTCACAGAGCCCCTGTCACTGGCATTTGTTGGGTAACCTAGCAAAGAACAAAAAAGCAGCCTGCGTAGCCGGAAAAGCCCTTCTTGTTCTGTTCCTGCAGAAAAGACAGACACATAGCTCCAAGGAAGAATCAGGATAATGTCAGAGCAGTTTTGCACCTTGAAAACCAGTTTTGAAAAAGCTGCAAGTGCACAGTGATCAAAGAGACTGATACATACGTTTAGTGGGCATGTGCAGAGGACAGTCAAAGAAGCAGCTATGAAACTGACAAGAGTTGTGCGCCATGTGCTTAGAAGGGTGCAGCCTGACAGAAGAAGGATCGGGAGGCTCGCCTGCCGCAATATTACAGAATCAATCAAGTCAGGTTTAGTACAAGTTGATATTAATTTTATCATTAGCACACAAGACCAGTTGCAGATGCAAAGATGGTTACATTAGAAATTTATCTTTAACTTTATCTCTCACTTACAAATGAAATCTGCAGCTTGCATTTAAAGTAAGATACCATTATTTAGCAGTTCACATGAGTTAATTCTGAAAAGTCACAACAACTTTACAAAGAATAGCCTTCACCAGATGCCCAGATTAATTAAAAGCTTTGCTTATATTAAGATACCGTACAATTTTCAAATAAAGATTTGAAATTACATTTCTATACGAAGGTACTCAAATCAACATGAATGACAGTTTATGGTCAGTAGTCTAGACAGCTCAGATGAGAATGATTGCTGATTAGTTTGAAATTATATTAATTTATTAGGAAAGTAATGACAATCCCAATGACCATGCCAACTTAGTATTCTATGGAAAACAACCCATTTTCATTTTGAAAATAATTTTACAGACAGCAATAATATCAAAAAACTTCATCATGACTGCTAGTCAGAAAATTACACCGTCTACTTGGAAATTCACTCACTTTAAACAAGTACCAACATTATTTTGACTTGAAGTATTATTTTGATAATGTATGCCACACTGCCTAGTGTCTTACGCATTCAAGCTACATACTAACAAAATCACTGAGAGGGAATAAATTGACTTGCACATACCGTAGAGTCTCCCGTTTATTGAACATTTCTTAAAAGTCATCACATTTTGTGTCAGTGTTCCAGTCTGCAAGGGAAAATAAAATCTTCAGTACATTGTACAGGGTACGAAAAAAAACTTGAATTACAGATTGACCATGAGACAAGTAGCTCTCAAATTTTGCTTGCCCTGGACAAGTCTTACATTAGTTTGTTCTTTTAATGATCTAGTTGGGTGACAACTTGCCTGATCCCTTGCCCATCAAGCAAGAGAGAATGAAAAGTTACTTGCCCAGCAGGAAAATCTACTTATCCCAGATGAACAGATGGTCCTTTTTTCAATTCTTTGGTTTAATGGTCCACATTAGCCACTCCTTAACTGGGTGTCATACTACAACTAACTATTGCAACTCACCCTCCCTCCTTACACAGTCAGATGCTCAACATACATGTACAAAGAACTAATTTTTTTTTTCTTGGGCAATTTTTGATTTGTCAATATCAGATATATTAACAGCACCAAAGTTGCAATTCATGTCTTCCCCACAGGGACACAACCTAAATCCTACCTACACAATGATCACCATAGGAGCAACCATTAACAAAATTATGGCCCTGAGGGTTTTTAATATTCAGTACACTTGGACCTCACTAGGAGCACACACTGTTATCAAGAGAAACGTCACCTTATCAGAGAAGATGTATTGAATTTGGCCAAGTTCCTCGCTTAGGGTGGTTGTTCTGAAAAAGAATCCAAGCAGTTAATATAGACTGACAGGGAAGGACATGGAAAAGGAACAAAAACACACTTGGGTGCAATTAATAATAATTAGTATACACCACACAAGTGAATAGTGCTTTTCACACCCTCTGATTGGTTAACTCGGAGGTGATTAGCAAGTACTATTCACCTCTGAGCAGACGGCATGAGAGATTTTAAAATTTCCGACCGCTTGTCACACATGAAATAACGTTTTGGTCCACTAATTATTCAGCTTGTGTGGTATATACAAAAACAATTATTCACCTCAGTGTCGGTGAAAGTGATGGATATTTACCTCCACTTCGGTGAATAATTGTTAATTATTCTTCAGAGAACTTTATAGTGTCTTAAAGATGTAAGTTGACAATCACATACCTTGCCACAGCTGGAGTATCCTTCTTTTCATAATACATGTTAACGTCCCAGTTTATCCATAAACTTTGACCAAGACGAATCACTTCAACACTTCAGAAAGATAAAAGTTAATAAAATTAATGCTAACCTTTCCCATCGCACAAAATATAAATAAAATTGAAATAAATCTGTCATCCCCTAGCCAGCACTAGTTTCTCTGAAGAGGTAACTGACTCACTCCCCATATCATGATGTATATGACTGTGTGCATGTCGACAATCCACCAAACAATAATTTGATCTTATGTACACAAAGGAACTGAAAGGTCCGTGTCTACAAAATATCCAGACAGTGCTCAAAGGTATCATGGTTAATCTATTTATCACTGGTGAACACTGAGGATAAATTTATCATCTGGCCTTACATGTCTAGTACGGTTGACAATGAAGAGTGAGGCCTATTGTAATTGAAGGCTTTCATGCAAAAAGGGCGTACGAGGCATTTTGGGCCAATTTTTATTTTTTGCAGGATCAAGCTAATTTTTGGCAGACTGACTTGTTTTGACACGAAAAGCATTGTTGCATAATTTTTTTTTGTTGATTTGCGCTTCATTTTCGAGAAATAACATATGCAAAAAACTTTTTCCAAGGGTATCTTTTGGAGGTCTTTTGTTGAGCGAAAAACAAAAGAAACCTTTGTTTTGCTAAACAATGAAGTCACCGAAGCGTGGTATTTGCCGCTAGTTTTATTATTTATATAATTACACATTCCTCTTACTGTTGCTTCATTAGCACAAGTGGATAAGGAGCTGAACGGGCCGTGTCCAAGTTTGTTTTGTCGTAACACCGGTTAGATACAAGGCTGGTTGATTTTTTTTCCGGTCTATTTCTCTACTTCTTTCAAAAATCAAAACATCTATTTAAAAAAAATTGTGCCATCAAAGCTGCTAAACATAACCGTTTAAGTTCGCGCTGCCTCAAAATCCACCTTTGAAGGATTTGCTCCAAAAGATGCCGCTCAGAAAACTGAGCTTTTTTGCATGTTATTTCTTGAAAACGAAGCGCAAATCAATTACGCAGCGATGCTTTTCATGTCAAAACAAGTCAGTCTGTCAAAAATTAGCTCGATCCTGCAAAAAATAATAATCGGCCCAAAATGCCATGTATGCCCTTTTTGCACAAAAGCCTTCAATTATAGCTTTCTGATCACTGACTAGTTTTAAATTCAAATTACAGTGATACATCTTACTAACTGAGTTTAGTCAATCACTCACTCACTCACTCACTCAATCAATCGATCTATTAATGTCACTACCCAGGATGAGGATGCCCTCAGTGTCTGAGAGGCTCATGTATATAGAGCTTGACAATTAATGAAATTCAAAAGGAACGTAATTTAAGTAAATATTAATTAAAACATAGAATATATTAAAAATTATATTGAAATATGAATATCAGTAAAAAAATTAATACATAAATGCTTTACAAATGCTAGCCGAATTTTCAATCAGTACTCCTTTCATAACTTCCTGAGTCTCTAGTCTGAGATCAGACAGGCCCAATAGACTCTACAGCTTACCTAATGTACAGTGAAATTGGGATAAGTGTATTTAACACCATGATAAATGATGGCCAGTGGACAATACCAATGATCACAACACTGTCTTTGTAGAAATCCTCCCATGGTAGATATATTTGGAAATGCTGAAAGCAATAATTTATCATCATTATGAGAAACAAACTCCTTTACTGATTGTTCCTAACATTGGTTTCTGCCAAGCAATTAACTTCTAAAGAAAATGTTGGGCAGTGTTAATAGTTGAAACAAAAATTCTACTACAGTGAATTTGCTTACCTTTATCAACTTCAAGTTGGCATTCAACTAAGTGTCTGGCTTCTTGCATGTAACTGAAATTACTGAACACATATACAACAGTACATCATTTACCTTTCCAATTATTTCCTCCCACACTGTTGTTCCAATGGCAAGAAGAGTACAAATAATACCTAAAATGGCAGCAATCTAACAAAGGAGTAGATCAGATATCTGTTAATTACCAGTAGACATTGCAGTGGCAGATCTAGGGGAGGGGCCCAGGAGGCCCAGCCCCCCTTATTTTGGTTAAAAAAAAATCGCAGAAGGAAGAAAAGCTGGCAGGGCCAGCAAAAAATAACCGCCCTCCCCNCCCCCCCCCCCCCCTAGCTGAAGGTCTGAATCCGCTACAGCATTGATATACAGCAAGAAATACTATGCATAAAAAATTACAATAGGCCATTTGTTATCCCACACTTTTTTCTTTCCTGAAAATCAGATAGAAGCAGGTAACTATTTTAACTTTACAAAGTGAGAAAAACAGTAAACAAGTTTGGGTCAGGGAGGGGGTGGCACACAATGTCTCGTCAGATAGCCCGGGGCTTGTGGATTTTCCAGTCAGACTAGTGGATTTTTTCTATCTCTTGCCTGAAGGGCAAGTGAAGTTTCTTGGGAACTTTATGAGGAAATTCAAATTACAGATGTATTGTTAGAGATGATCTTTTCGGGGGGGGGGNAATATTGATCATCAGGATATATTAAGCACTTCATAGTTAGAGCTTGAACAAAAATTTATTTTCTTTGCACCCTGTAGGATATAATTAATTGTAAAAAATAAAAGTAAGATTATGTACATGTAACCTTTTTTTTAACCCATGGGAGTGTTTATAGCTCAAGGCTATTGGGGCCGAGCAAACAACTATAACAAATAATTCAACTATTTGAAAATAACATGACTGAGAATCACAACTGGCCAGAGGCAAACCAGTTCAATATTACAAGCGTGGCCAAGGATTTGAACTCTGGGCTTATAATAACCGTCAAACAAGTCTGACGTGCTGACCACTCAGCCACACTGCCTCCTCCATTCATTTAAACCATTGCAGAGTAGCACTCCACAGATTGGTGACGAATGTGAACTTACCCACAAGATAAGATTGTTAGTGAGTTTATCCAGACCTGTCCTCTTGAATTTACTGACCCCTAGATAACAACCAAGCACAGATGGAATCAAACGCACACCTATTAAGTTTCGTTTGTAACTCTCACCTAAAATTACCTCTCACCTACATGTAGTTAGAAATGTTTGACTTGCTACTCAAAAAAGTTTAGAAATTTCATCGCTATACATGTATATATCCATGCCAATGTTGAACCTTTCAGTCAAGACCACAGTGCAGTCACATCCATTGATAAACTGTGTGTGCATGTTAATTTGCACTATAGAAATATTAAATATAATAATAATAATAATAATAATAATAATAATAATAATAATTATTATTATTATTACTATTATCATGTAGAAGCTTCCTCTGGAAAATGTGTTGGGAAAGAGATGCAACATGTATTGAGCAGTACATTTGTACATGTAAGAGTGGGAAAATCTTTGAATGCTTCTCATTGTAGGTGTGTTGCAAGAATTAATCTGTCCAAAATAATTCTGTGTTTTCCTTANAATATTGATCATCAGGATATATTAAGCACTTCATAGTTAGAGCTTGAACAAAAATTTATTTTCTTTGCACCCTGTAGGATATAATTAATTGTAAAAAATAAAAGTAAGATTATGTACATGTAACCTTTTTTTTAACCCATGGGAGTGTTTATAGCTCAAGGCTATTGGGGCCGAGCAAACAACTATAACAAATAATTCAACTATTTGAAAATAACATGACTGAGAATCACAACTGGCCAGAGGCAAACCAGTTCAATATTACAAGCGTGGCCAAGGATTTGAACTCTGGGCTTATAATAACCGTCAAACAAGTCTGACGTGCTGACCACTCAGCCACGCTGCCTCCTCCATTCATTTAAACCATTGCAGAGTAGCACTCCACAGATTGGTGACGAATGTGAACTTACCCACAAGATAAGATTGTTAGTGAGTTTATCCAGACCTGTCCTCTTGAATTTACTGACCCCTAGATAACAACCAAGCACAGATGGAATCAAACGCACACCTATTAAGTTTCGTTTGTAACTCTCACCTAAAATTACCTCTCACCTACATGTAGTTAGAAATGTTTGACTTGCTACTCAAAAAAGTTTAGAAATTTCATCGCTATACATGTATATATCCATGCCAATGTTGAACCTTTCAGTCAAGACCACAGTGCAGTCACATCCATTGATAAACTGTGTGTGCATGTTAATTTGCACTATAGAAATATTAAATATAATAATAATAATAATAATAATAATAATAATAATAATAATTATTATTATTATTACTATTATCATGTAGAAGCTTCCTCTGGAAAATGTGTTGGGAAAGAGATGCAACATGTATTGAGCAGTACATTTGTACATGTAAGAGTGGGAAAATCTTTGAATGCTTCTCATTGTAGGTGTGTTGCAAGAATTAATCTGTCCAAAATAATTCTGTGTTTTCCTTACAGTACAAAAAAGTTCAAGGACGTTACTTTAAAATAAAACCATACCAGTATTCATCATGAGTTTAGTGTCATGACCAGCATATATGACCACACCATACACCCATTTAGTGTTACGCAGCACACAGCCCTGACAGAGAAAAGAAGCTAGTTACTTTCACTGGAATGAATAGAAAACTACATCATCTTGAAGGTATCTTACCCGTAAAATGACATTCTCGTTGTCCAAAGGATACTGTTTGCCTTCATACGTTAACTTTCCCTTGAGCTTGTCCAATCTGTTGTTGGGTGGATCACAACTAATTTCAACTAGAAAAGGAATTGACCAACACAAACTGTTACAATTATTTCACTACATGTGATGTGCAGGGCTCGAAAAAAAAAAGTTGAATTCTAGATTGCCCTTTTGCCCTGGGCAAGTCTTAGTTTACTTTTTCTAAATATATGGTTGAAAGACAACTTGCCCAGGTTATTGCCCATTGAGCAAGTGAGAATGAAAAGTTACTGGTCTGGTGGGAAAATCTTCTTGTCCCAGACAATCGGACTGCACTTTTTGCGAGCCCTGAATTGTGGCTATAACAACTTACTTTATATTTACCTTAAATTACTTGCTTTCTAATAACCAACAAAAATAATAAACCTGCTAGCAAAAGAACACCAGCTTTCAAATGGTAGCACATTCCAAAAGTTCGCTAACAATTATTAAAAGCAATTATAATATTTAATTTGATGACTGCTTAGTAGATGTGCTGTTAGTGTAAAACTTGTGGCAAGCTAAGGGACTTACTTTTAACTTGTGAAAGTTGTTCTTCATCGTCACCAAGCTCTCCAGTTTCAGGAAGAGGTTGACGACATTTTAGGTTGGTTTCCCTGTTGATGATAAAAATGTATGTCACCTCAAAATAATCAGCTTGCCAGAGAAGTTTAAAGCGCCTGGTTAAGTATACATTGTTCTCCAAATGAAGCATTAGGACTGAATTTGGTAACCAGTTATAAATCTATTCCGTTTAACACATTCTTGTACAGCCAAACTGTTACCATCACAATGACCTAGTACGTGTATTTTGTAGACAAATTAAATATACAGTACAAAATATACCATATAAATATACACGTGGTTGACGTTCTTTTTACCCAAAGATGACTTGGTCAAAGACATTCGACCTTTCTTTTAATTTTGAACATTTTAGCCTAGTACATGAAAATGGCATTTTAAATCTTACACAAACATTATGGACAATAACAATTATATCTAGTATTTTGTTTATTAAACGGTATATTTGTATAAACATGGCCAGTCAACAATGCTGCAATGACAAATTTATCATGAGAACTTAGCTTTACTGTAAAACATGACACTTAAATGTACATGAAAAATCACTGTTGATTAAAAAAAAATGAAATTAATATTGAACGTTATTGTGTATAGCTCACCCATCCAACTCAGCCGTCTCAATGTAACACAAGCCATTTTCCTCACTAGTGCTGAGGACCACTATATCTGCCTGATGAATCAGCAAAAGTTCATATTATTGTGAAAAATTCAATGAACTTTCAGTTATACATGTACACCAAGCAATAACATGGCGGTTACAGTGATGTATGCCATCATAACATCTTTTTTGATGGGTTCTGTTTGAATGAACTGAATTAGTTGTGTTAATTAATGCAATTCCTCCCATGGTATGCTGGCTTCTACCTCTAATTTTGATGGTTGAACCGAATGAGGAAGTTGTAAATTTTAAATAAATCATGTTCATATCAACTACTTTTAATTAGTCAATGTCCCACAGATTGACTGCTGTAAGGGTCATAACACCCCATCCAGACGAGCAACTCACAGCATCCACTGAACTTGTGTGGCAGAAACCCAAATCAAGGGCTAAGTATGAATGAAAATAGACTTTATTTGCCTCCATGTTGGAATACTATGCCAGAGGTTAAGATCCATTACAGGTCCTTACGAGTGTCAACAAGTTTCCATGTCCCCTTCCCAGTCTTACAGATTGATGCAGGCCACTTGACATGAAACAAAATATAAATGTTCACATACATACTGTCCTTATGTAGCCCTTAGCATGCTGAAAGTAATGGAGATATATCTGGGATAGTTCTAAAAAATCGATGATCACTTTTGGGAAAATCCTATTCCCCGTTCAATTGAAATTTAATTTCGCAACTTATGACTTACAGGAATTTGATCATCACTGTCTATTCTGAGAATGTCACCAACTTGAAGTTTCATCCAGCTCTCTTCCTTTTGTCTGAAAAATACCAACAATAATAATGCTTATTAGCAATCAAAGCTTTGAAGAAGTAAAAGATTTAAAATTCGTCTACACGTCTTGTACATGAAAAAAAAAAAAAAAAAAAAAACACTAGATCACTTCAATCTTCCAGTTATTCACTACTTTTAAAGCTTTATACAATCAATTTAAACCTCTCCACAACGGCCACCTTGGGGACAGAGGACAGCAGCCATTGTAGAGAGGTGGCCATCATGGGAAGGTGGGGACACCTGTCTTTTTAAGGGGTACAACAATTTCATCTTTAAAGTAGCATATATATATGTAACAAAATAAAAATATATCAGTAAAGCAGAAACATACAGAAATAGACCCGCGATGTGTGGTATGGATCAAGTTTCGTGACCTGTTATGATAAAAATTGTGGTTTTGTATACACTGTTTGTCAGTTGTTGATTAACTGGCCATTGCCGGGAGGTTATTTGCGCAGTTAGGACACACTTTAGCGGCCACTGCCATTAGGAGAGGTGGCTATTGTAAACAGGTTAAAATAAGTCTTGTGGATGAATGGACTGTCTGCCAGGACCAACAAAAGGAGCCATTGTAGAGAGGTGGCTGTTAGTGGAGGTTTGACCGTACTTTTTTTCTTAAAACTTGAAGCCCACTCTAAGAATTTCCAGTGACCTCCTATAGGGTGGGTATGGATATTTTATGGAACAGCACTTTTTAACAACAAAAAGTACATGTAGTTGAAGATCGAAATAACACCTCCCAGAAATTTCAAATTTCACAGATAATAAAACCCAAATTTTTTCAAACTTTGAAGAGAAAATGCTATTCATTATTGATTAGTTACCTATTCTCAGCAAGAACCTTTGCCTTTCTGTTGTTGACTTCATCATCACTTCTGTGTCGTTTCTGTAAGTTAAGAGAAATTGACTTCAGTTGTCATTAATGAATTTGATTACTAAAACTTTTAACATAAAGTTCTTTTATTTGATTATAAATAGAGATGACCTTACCGCTACATGTATTTTCCAAACAAACGAGGTTAAGTAAAAACAACTGAATGCTCTGCTTAATGTAGTTACTAAATTCTGAAATCCAATGAGGGTAGCTGGAATTCGTAATAAATTCAAGATCTTAGAAATTATTCAAAGGGCTTGTGTCACAATAATGGGCATGTACAACTTTGATTGATACTGAAAAGACATAGGTACCATAGGCTGCCTGAGATAAATAGAAATTTTCTAGACTTACAATATCATCCACAGCATCTTTGATTCCTGTTGCAGCCAAGACACATACAAGAGGAACTGCTGTGGCTTCTGGACTTAATGCCGTGATCTTGGGAATGGACTGTGATGGATAAAGATTAATATTATAATTAATTTTAATTAATAATGCGTTGAAGTTGTAGGCTCATGACAAAGGAGGAGGAGGAGGAGAAAGAGCTGAGGAGGAAAAGGAAGTGGAGGAAAACTAGAGAAGAATTTGGGGGAAGAAGAAGAGTGAGATATATTTAGTTGTTGTATGTACACATTAATGTTGTATCTCATTTTCTTTTGTTTTTTGTTGGCTTACTAGACTAGTCTAGACTAATTTTGTTTTCAGTCTTAAGACTTTAAATTCAAAACAGTATCACTCTACATTCAAAGATCACTGGAAAAACTGTCCCTTAAAAATTACTTCAAATTGTACTTATGAACACCTACCATGATAATGATTTGAAGTAAAAAATACAAGTTGGCTACCCTCCGGAATTGTTCAAACAAGTTGAGAGGTAAAAAGGTGAGAAGAGTGTACTTTGATGTCCTGATGTAATTGTCAACATATTGGAATGAAGAATTATATTCGTGGTCATTTGTTCTGAGTTGTCTCTCTGTAGCTGAAAGACAAAATGTTTACAACTGATTAACCAAGACAAAAATACAGTCAAGCTTCCCACATGTATAAGTCAAACCTGAAAAAATGAAGCAGAGGTTCAAATTAGGTGAAAATGGTGTACTGCTTCTCAATCAAGACAGCACCAGAAACCATGAAAGGGTCAATAATGTACAAATTCTAAACAAAAGGACTGGTTTTACTACTAAAAGCTGTTTTATTTAACAAAGAAAGAAGCCTAAGCCGTGTATTACACTGTGATAAAACATGACAGGTACTTGAGAAATGTAGAAAAGGCAAGTGTTTTCTACATTTTTCAAGTATCATATGTAGTTAATGTGATGAAAAATCTGATGAAACCTGGGTTTTTGACTGATCAGAGCGTGCGCAGGGTCCTATCTATGTTATAATATCATAAAACACTCAACTAAAACGTTTATGACTGTTTATGCTAAAATGCGATATCTATTATTGAGGAAATCTAAGCTAGCATGCTAAACAAATAACAGCTTTAATCTAAGTAATTAAATTTAAAGATTTACACTATGATTTAATACATACCCTGAGAAAATAGAACTTAGAAAACACCTAAATTATTTTAAAAGGGTGCAATTTAAACTGCCAAAAATTAAGTACATACATACATGCATACTTACTTCACAAAAATGAAGAATAATTCATTGTGTGAAAAAGATAAAATATGTCTCAAAAAGAAAAAATTTTTCAAAAGAAAGTCTAGCCTTATATAACAGATTCCCTTAAAAATACAAGAAAAATACTAAAAATAGCTATATTAATATTTATTGTTCACTCTTTTTATACTAGATTGAAAATGAGACGATTGTAATGAAACAAAAACCGTATGCAATAAAAATACTGTTCATCTTGTAAACATGATGATAAACAGAAATTTAGAGTAACAAATTAAAATTAAGCTATGGGATTGTGCATTGCATAAATTACTAGCTGTGCTTGGCATTTTCCAGAGGTATTATGCCGCTTTGACTTTCTCCCTACAAAAACCGGAAAAGTAAGTTTAATGTTTGAAATCGAGGTCTCGAAAGTCGCAAGCTTCACACTTTGGCTTGCCGAATATAAGACTTATTACTGAACTGGAGAGGATTGGTCTGTTTTCGAATTAAAAAGGCAATAAGGCTACAATATTAAAGTCAGTAGCGGTACGCTTTTGATTGGGCTTATAAGCTTGCATTTGTTTCAGATAAAAGCTATTGCAGAAGTCAAATGACTAAGGTTCATCTGGCACATCTCTGTACACGGAAGAACTGCATTTCATGCCAGATAATATAAGTTACTGGAAATTTGTTAAGATCACACTCAGCGGCTCAAAGATCTGCCGTTTCCCGAACAACGAAGTTTGTCTCGATGTCTCGCAGCAGCTGTTCCAAACAAGCACTTCCTGATCCTTTTCTTCATAAAGTGCTTTCAACTATACAAAGGAAAAATATATGTACAATACCTTCTTGGTTATTCTGTCCTCTGCACAAATGCATTTTCAAAGGCGTTAAATCCCGGAACCGTAATATATTAAACTAGTTAACTTGAGGTTAATTGAGAGACACCAAGCCGACAACTGTGGGATTTTAACCGCTGTTAGCTGTGTTCTTGGTTTACCACAAGCTTACGACTTCTGCAAGGGCGAAAAATTTCGCTAACCATCTCCTAAGAGATGTAAAATGCTTTAAAATCCGCCCTCTTTCGACCAGGACATCAAGGTCGACCCAGACAAAAATATTAATGCAAACAATCCACATAAAATTTATGCTCTGTTTCAGTTTTCTCTCATTTTGAAGAACGCGCTAAAATGGAGGACTGGATGCCAGTCTAAAGGAAAAACCGCGAAAACTGACCTCCAATCACATAGTCCGGGATCAATGCGAGCGTATTATATGTCGAGATTTAAGGGTTAACATGAAGGCCATATTTTTGCTGGGTATTATGGTTTGAATGCAAATATCTCGTTCACGTTTCAAGCAGTGAAAAATTTCTCTGCTCATTTCACATAGCTTCGTTTTGGGCTGTTTTGTAAATTTTTTGGTGATTTTTGGGTATATTTGGGGATAAATAGTTTTTCACAAAGGATTAGTAAAATTTATGGAAATAGGAAATTTTGAAGATTTGATGTTGTTTTAAAATTAGAATTTGAAGTTAGAAATTGGTAGATGTACACCAAACAGTTGTCTACCAACTTGAACCCGGGGTGCCCTTTTGGGGGCAATCAACTGTCTGGTGGTGTTTTAAACCCCTTTTTATCCTTTTAATCCCTCTTTAAACTTCCTAAAATTTCACCTAAATTCATGTTTACCCCCGCCTCAAAGTTCCGTGGGAATTTTGTGAAAAAACCAAACCACCTATCTAGTTATGTTAAGAGGAACCTGAAATGCGTAAAAGTTTTACGTATTTCCGGTATTACGAAAATATCGGCTACATAAAAAAACACATCCCAATGTAAAATTCTCATTGTACCTGAAGAAGGCTGGTTTGGTCAGCCGAAATATAGAACACCTTCAAAAAATCATCCTACGTTGTGTCGGTTTTCGCTTTTGTATTCTTCACCAATGCCTTATACTATAAACTTGTTAAAAGTTATTAGAAACTAACCAGATTCACTCAGTTCAACAAAATTTGCGGTTTCTACATTACCAGGCCTTGAAAAATACATTCTAGACTCTGATCACTCACATGATGTCGAGTTAGAGCCTGAGATATGCGTTGTCTATATATTTGTAAATGGTTTCTTGAAACCCCGTACCCTATACAAAATTTCTTTTTCATTTTCCGAATTATTAGTAGCATGTTATATTGCTTGAATAAAAGAAGTGTCAATCCATGAAAAAAGTTATTGGTATTCGGGGTCGAAGTTTGTTATCATCACATGTAGTGGGAATTTTGTGAAAAAGCCCACAGGACCTCTTGACCCAAATTTTTCTCTGTTTGCTGAGAATGACGGGCATAGCTTTTCTGGCTTTTAGATTGGGTACTTAAGAAAGTCCATAAAACCTCATTGGTTAAAAAGTTGACCGTTTGAGCTGAACGTTGAACATGAAAGCTTGCATAAATGAAAATTTTATCCGTCTGTACTCTTATTGACGATAAAACTGAGCTAATCAGCGCGAGAGAAATTAGACAGCTATTGTAAAAAGCAAGATTGCTCAGGATTAGGTCAAACAGGCCGACACGTACATACTAAATGGGCAAAACATATGAACTTGTTTCTCTCAATTGCGTGATCTGCGTGAACTGGCATCCTTTTATGCTAGTCGGTTGGCGAAAGTGGACGGAAGCAATATACTCCAGTATAATATCAGGAATTTGGCTCTTTAAGAGAGTTTCCATTGAGGGTATTCAGAGTAACAACTAATAGCACAGCAATCGACTGTTGCTCCTTCCCAACAAAGCACCCCGAGTTGCAAAAATTTTAAGAAACCATTGAGACCCATTTGAGTCTATTCCTACAACTAAGGTGTGGTGTACTTTTATTTGCTATTGAAACCGTACTATTTGATTCAAATTTCGCCAACTTTCCTCACTAAAACTGCATTTTCAAGCCCTCAATCCCATTGTTTTTATTGTCACAAAAAAAAAAAAACAGGTTTTCACCAAATTGCCACAAACGAAACAAAGTATCTTCTCTAGCGCAAACTTGATGTCTTTGATGAAGTTTGTCAAACCCCGACAAACTCAAGTTTAGCTTATCAATGCTTAGGATACATCATCCGTTTCAATACAAAGGACGCAATTATTTGAAGGTTTTTGTCAGCTTCAAGGCCTTTCTTATGCAACAGAATCATCCAGCGTGTCTTAGGCCCAGTTCATACGTCGCATTTCTGCTGTGTCGAATTCAATTCAATTAAGTGCGACAGAAATGCGACTGTGGATTCATACGTCGCACTTGTGTCGCACTTAATTCAGAATTTATACTGTCGATAATGTCGGCCAGCGGAAAATGTTTTAAACGTAGATTATTCAATATGGCGGACGAAAATACCGAGCGACGAAGGACTTTAATTTTGCGACAGATTGTCCGCCAATGGAACGAGAAGGAGAAGGCTGACAACAGAGCAGTATATGTTGCAATATGTGCAGGTTGTATTGGGTCGAGAATGGCCAAGTTTCTTCTTTTTCTTTGGCGGGAAAACATTTACGCATGTTCATACATTAACATGATGTATGCATTAGATTCGACACGGCAGAAATTCGACGTCTGAATCGGTGTCGCATTTCTGTCGGATAATGCGACATGACCAGTCGAACGTGCGGCAGAAATGCGGCAGCCGAATCAGAAGTCGAATTTCTGTCGAATTTAATTCATTGAATTGAATTCCACACGGCAGAAATGCGACGTATGAACCGGACCTTAGATGCGCACCAGACTTATGGTAGTAACAGGAATAGTGAAGGCTTTACTTCACGTGGGTAACACTTGACAGTGAACCGATGAACTTGTAATAGCTATGATGATGATGATGATGATGATGATGATGATGATGATGATAATGGTAAATAATGCTAAAACGTGCAGATTGGGTTATCTAATTCTAATTTACAACAATTAGTCTCAAAAGCTATAGTATTTACAACTATCAAAGAATAGCTACAGCTCCATTAACATTTATTATTTATTTGTTGGATTTATTATTTGGTAAGTCTTATTAAAAATCAAAATCTCTTTCGTGTTTGTCAACATATGAAGTCCAGATGAACAATGAAAAGGGCTGACACGTTTGGGTGTAGATTACCTTGTTTGACAGAAACAGTAGCAGTTCTTGACTTCATGATCTATGAGACCGTCTTTTCCACCTTCTTAATCCACACTATGATTTTTGGCTAAGCACCCAAGAATGAGACTTGCATCTCAGTCAACTTTTCCAAGAGCAGTTTGATAAGCTCGACTGAGGACTAGCCCACCTACAACAATAGTAACAAGCGTAATTGATTTGTTTAGGGTTCTGTGCTCAGTAACACGTACAAAATGCTCAAAATTACTCCCTGTATGATTTTACGACGAGCGTGAAACTCTTATCCTTTGCTGAAGAGAGTCAGAGGGAAGGTCGATAGAGAGGAAACTTGTTCTGAAAAGTTGAAGTTTCAAGGGGCAGACTTATTATGGATTTTTAATGATATAGGGATATCAGGCTTGTTATAGAAGCTTGAATCATTTTGCGTGGAATTGAAATTTCATTTAGACAGAACAAAGAGCTAATTTTCCAATGAAAAGAAATATATATAACTTAAATTTTTAAAGGGACTGACAGTTTTTCAATTCTTCTTTGAGTTATTATCTGACGGATTTTCGGCACTGACCCTGCAATGTCCCTTTCATGAAACTCAGTCAGTTCTTAAACAACTGTTTCTAAAGTCAGGATAGTAAAACTGAGACCCAGCACAGGTCGGTGTAAATTCGGTGTTTTGCCGGACGGGTTGACATGGTTGACAGATACCTTATTGTAATTCATCATGAAGTGGGCTAGAGCAAACAGTGGGTTTGTGTTGACACTGAATCTGTCAGCTTTTTTAACGATTTCCTCTCCTCAGCGGGTTATATGGCGATTGAAGAGACTCGATGAAACTTCGAGTTAAGCAAGAAACTATAACCCGAAAAGCTGTATAAAACATCAAACGTCTGAAGCAATAGCCGAGGCAGCGATTACATTACAAATACGTAATGAAACTGAAACATTTGAAGTATTTTTATACATTCTGCCTCAGCGCAAGTCTGCTTTAAACCAAAATTCACCTGAATTCAAGTTATTGGCAAACTCAGAGATGTAATAATTGATACTGCTTGACAGTTTTATTCATTATAAGTTTTAGCTTGCACAAGAGGTTGTAATATGGACATAACACAACCCAAAACCTCCATACGCGTGATCGATATACGCGCTTTGGACTAACTGAACGCGTGAAATTCGTTTGCATGGCTCTGTTGTAAGTTCATCGCTGTAGCAACAGTAAAACAAGTGAAGAATTTCTAAAATGCGGGTAGTCGTGATCAATAATCCATCTCATAAATGTAAACTTAGGTCAATTCAGTATAAAAATTTAAAACGGTATCTAGGCAAGAGAAAAAAAAATTTACCTTTAAATGACTTGCCGCTCACTCGTCCTTCGTCGACATCTGTCAGACCGATTCATAGCCATTTAATTTCACTCGACGACTCAACCACAACATCCTTAGAAATTTTTGTCGATCGGTTCTAAAACAAGATAGAATGTTTTAACTTCGGTCAGCCACGGTAACAGAGAACATCAAGAATTCTGGGATTTCGCAGGTGATAGTTATTTAGTTTTAATTTAAAATATTCAATTCTGTGTTGACATGATGATTTATGTCGACTAACCACTGACACTTGAAAAATATTGAGGAAGACTTTCGCTCCAGCATGGCCATTGAATTGAATGAATAGAATCAAACTGAGAATCAAACTGAAGCGAGTGGTGAGGAATGTACTGCCGGCGAAGAGAGACTGGAGTCAGTTGAAGTCGATACAAATCACCATGCAATAAATATTAATAAACCAGCAAAGGAAAACTTGAAATTACAACGAGATAAGAAATCATTGCAAGCGTATTAATCCAGCTTGCAGCATGGCCTTCAGTGCCGATAAAATCTTTCACATGCAGTCAATATAATTTTTTTTTGGCAAAACCTAAAGTATATATTTATTTATTTATTTTTATATCTTTTGTATCATTTTCACCGTTGGACTGAGACAAACAGTTTTAATATTTTAATATTAATTATTTCCAAAACTTAGAAATTCATTTTAACAGAGAAATAATCAAGCACTATTCATACGAGCAAGTTAAATTAATCTGTATTTCTCAATCAGTGTTTCACAGTTTTAGTCCGTAGTGTTAAAGTCACAGTTCTGAACGGAACAACTAATTACCTTCCTGTGCACGTTTTTTCTTGTGTGTCTGATTAGCATAATGCAATGCTTATCACGTTGAAAGAAGTTTCAACTTTTCTTGTCGACTAACATTATTCTCCTCATACGATATTAACTGACGTTTCAAGACCCACGCAAAGATATCGCTTAGAGGCACAGGAAAGGACAAATATATATTTTTCATAATCATTGGCAGTTTCGAAGTTGCAAAGTGTAGCGGTGATAGCGGTTAGTTCTGAAATGGTGGTAATTTTGACTTTCTATTGTCATAATCTACTGTCATAACGTAAAGACAGCTTTGCAACAAACGACGCACAATTGACTTGCAAGCAATTTATACTTGTCTGCGTGAACGACGAAATTACTCCAGAACTTCTTTAATATGAAGTAAAGGTATTTTCTCACATTCAATGATTGAAGTTTATGCAACAACAACTCACTGACGATTGTTCGTTGTTAACGCTGTGCTTTAACTTGTATCACCGTCTGGGGTCACGTGGATGAGAAATATGTAAAATAAGCCCTTTACAGCTATACCATCACGTGACCCACTTTTCATACAAATTATGGGCTATGACTTAAAGAATGCCAGGAATGGAAAAAGCATGTCAAAAATATCAATATGGCCAAGTTAATAGAGGGTAAATGGTTATGAAGCCCGGCAAACATCAAATCAGCAAACAAAGATGACAATATATTTTGGAAGGTCCACGACCGTGCACAATCTTCTGTTTTGCGTTCATGCACTATGCTTGAGGTACGTAATCAAAACATTTCTATTGGCTAGTTCCTCGTTCAATAGTAAACAACTACTGTGTTTTGTGAACAATCAAGGCCAAAAAAGAGAACAAACGTTTTTAATTTTTCCATAGTTAATAGACGGGGATGGTTACGAAACTCGCCAAAGTTTCTTGTTGTATGCTTTTTTTCTCTATTAACTATGAAAAAATTAAAAAGATTTGTATGGAAAAAGTGGTTGGAGAGCAAGACGTTGTTCTCCAGCAACATTTTCCGTTGATATCCTCTAAATTTTCTAAAAATTCAACCTGTCGTATAAACTTACTCTTTGATGCCAGGGGCTTCAAACATGGCCATTTTGGTATTTTCGATATGCTCTTTCCATATTCTTTTTAGCAAAAATTGGGTCATGTAACCCCAGCTGCAAAGGGCCTATTTTAGCCCATTGCTAGGGCTTCCGCCATCTTGGATTTACATTGGGTACCGGAGTCAAGAGTGATAATCAGAGTATGCCTCTGTGATCGACTGGGAAGATTTACAAACCGAACACAAGTCTATCTTAAGATAACATGAGGGCGTTCACCACTGTTTAAATTCAACTTTAACAAGAGTAGACCGACACAACATAGGATGATTTTTTTAAGGTGTACTGTATTTCGGCTGACCAAACCGAAGCCGAAGTCAACGTATACCAGCAGGATCATCGTTCGCGGTTGCTTGCTTAAACATTCTAACAAGAGTGGCTAGCTATAGGCGACGGAAAAAAAATTCGTCCAATTACATAAGAGCTACTCTCTTAACAAGATCTTTCTAAGGAAATCTGAATTTCACTTTGGATCAGAGCTTAAACTGCCTTATTTTTGGGCTCTCTAATAAACCTGGAATGTTTTTGCACTGGGGCTACTGAGTTACACGAGATACTGTTTTCACCGCTTATTTGGTTAGCGCAACAGACGTTTTAACATAAATATTACGATATAGAATTATCTTGTTGCTTATAATATTTTTGTGACAATATTTTATTAACAACTGCACACAGCTAGCTCCAAATCAACTGAAACTAACTAATGACAATATTCCATCTGATCATTCCAAAGTAATAATCAATTAATTTTACTTTCAATTACTTTGGAAGCAAAGTTAACTCGAATGCTAACCGATACGTAACCAATGTTAAGCTATTATATAGATAGGCGGTCTAACTTTTTCCCTTCTCAGTTATATTCGTTTTTTTTCTTGGTAATCTCTTTGATATTAATAGACTGTGTCGGTCAGATCGTGTTTTGCGGTAGTCCCCCGCCGCTGATGAACATCTGGATTTTGTCATCAACACATCACTTTGCTTTAATTGCATCTTGGTCTTTGTTGCTCTGAAAAGAATTGAACAAGAAAAGTACGGAATGTTGGTCACGTCACGCTCAGTTTTAAAAACAAAGTTGACGGTTGACCCCTCAGACCATTACACTTGACAAAATTATTTGAACCAGGGGACTTTCCAAAATGATAGGTACCTTAAGGGCAAGTGAATGCTAAGTTTTTCATGCGCTAGTTTTCTCATTTTGTTTTTAGGCCGTTGGTAAGCTTAAAGTGAAAGAGCCCAGAGAATTTAGGAATTTTGAGTTTTAAGATTTACAGTGAAGGAGAATAAAGAAATAAGAGCACAATAGATTTGAAGCTGTGAAAGAGGACATCATGACTTGATAAAGCTATTATTTTTATATTTTTTCTTTCATCGAGTATCAAAAAGATTCGGGTGTAATTCCCCTAAGAGTAGCAGAGATTTCCTTTTTCTAGTATAGTGTGCCCATTGGCTAGTCGTTTCATGAAATTATCTCGCAAGCGCAACATCAGGACAGAAGTACGTAGCTTAACAGCTTGTAAACAAACAAACAAACAAACAAACAAACAAGCGAACGAAAAAAACCTGACGAATAGATTAATATATAGATTTAGGCCAGCCTAAAAGCGTAGCTCCCGGGCCGGGTTGTTCAAAGCCCGATTAAGCTAACCCAGGCAAAGGTAGAATTTTGAGATGTTCTGTATATTGTTTGGCCTTCTGTTTTGAGTTTTAATAATCATCATATACACAAAACAAAGCAGCAAAAAGCATTTGTATAGGAGAAAAAGTTATAATTCGGTTAACTTTTAATTCTGGGTTTTAACCGGCGTCCAAACAATCCTGCCCTGTTTTCAAAAAGTTAACCTGACATGAACCGCGATCCAATCGAAAAACCAGCACTTGGTCAGCGGTAAACTTAAAAAACACGTGACCTCGATGAGCTGTAAACTTGAGCCCGCGATATGGCCACGTGATACTGGTCAGCGGATACCTTGTTTGGATAGTTGTCAATTGATCATAACATGGATGTCCAATATCAAAGAAGTACATGGTAAACCAAGGCTGCATGTCTATGTCAATTATGGCCGCCGTGTTGCGCGACTTGTCGAGTTGTCGTCGCCGTCGTCGTGCGTACACGCCCACGAGCAATACCGCTAGCCATGATAACCATGAGAAAATCAACTCACGGGTTTCCTGTTCTTTCCTATATGAGTATGGGGCTCCGCTCGGCGGCCCTTCGGGCCGGCGGAGCTCCGCTAAAAACTGTCCTTTTTACCAGAAAGGCCGTGTAAAACTGCCTGTCCAAACATAGCTTAGCCAAGCTCTTGTAAACAAGCAAACAACCAATCAACCAACCAAACAAACTGAAACAACTAAAACTGACGAATAGATCAAAACGTCCGCTATTGTCAAAAGGGCCGTGTAAACGCGACTTCACTGGCAAAGAAACATTTCCAGCCACTCTTTGTTTAACGTAATATATTTTGTATTTCACTGTTCTTGCTTAACGATCTATTGTTCAATTTCAGTTCTTACAATTTTTTTTTAAACTTTCAACTTGACATTGGCGTTCCGTCAATGTGGAAACGACATCGATTTCTCAATTTTAAAAGAGTTTAAAATGATCAACCCCCCCCCCCCCCAAATACTTTGCACTTCCTCTTCATTCGTGACTAGGAATGTAAATAAAAGGAACTTCCACATTGTTGTGCAAAACATGTAGCACAATTTTTGGTCAGCCAGGCTGTTGTAATATGTTGAAGGTGTTGGATCGGTTCAGCAGGCTGGCCAGACGTTGTAGCATGTGCAATATGTTGCATTATTATATGGCTACTGTATCGATATTGCACTTCTTGAGGGGGAGAGATGAACTGAATCCTACCCCGTGATTGGCTACCTGAGAGGGCAAGATGGCGCTATCTTGCCCGCTCGGGATTACCCGCTGTCCCGCAAGAAAATAGTGTTCTTTACCATATAATAATTAATAAATCTTTTATCGACCAAACTTGTTTGGTCAAGATGGCTGGACATTGGCCTCATTCTTTTTTTGCGTGTTAATGGACCTTGACTCCGTCAGGGTAAATAAACACACGCGAAAAAAAAAATGAGGCCTATATCCAGCCATCTTGACCTCACGCTTGGTCAATAACCCACATACATTTCGCAATACAGGTATATTGTGCTGAAATGTTAGGTTGCAGTAGGTTTGGCCTGGCCTGAAAGCGATGAGGGATTTTTTTCTGCTACAACTACAAGCAGCAGCCTCGTCTTTGGCTTTTGTTTGAAACCCATTGGAACGTGTATTGAGGAAAAAAGTCAAACATGGATAACGTGACATGTGCAAATAGGAAGTGGAATTGTGTGACAGAAACTGCCAGGCGGAAACACGTTTTAGCGACTTCCAAATATAGAAGATAGTCGTGACGTGTCTTACAGTTCAACATGGCGGACGACGATATATAGCAGAAATTTCTTATCTTCGTGTAAAAGTATAAAGAATCACTAGCGGCTTCCGCAAAATGATCTATTTATTGTCTGTAAAATGAGGAGCATTTGCCATGTCTCTTTTGAAGAAAGGAGGCTATACAAGTTATGTTTCAAGCCGGCCAGAAAATGATCCGGCTGCTGAGATACAAAATGTCTCGTCTTCAAGAGTCTATATATTTGGGAATGATGAGGCGGACGAAACGGGGATCGAAGACTCCACGTTGGAGATGACAGAGTTAAGACCAAGAAATAAAAACAAGAGATCATATGCTTCGACCAAATCGGGCCCTCATCAGTCCAAGAAAACGGAAACTATAGATCGTGATGTTCTGCCAACTGATTCACTTCAAAGTGTTTCACTGCAGTACGGCTGTACGGTACGTATGTATTGGTACAATAATGTAACTTGTATCATCGTCTGTATTGCTTACATGTGCCTTTCCCTACAATTGTCCAAAATTGAAGAATGGAATTGAAGGATTATCTCCTTTAAATACTGTTCAATTTTTGTGTGTTCAACTGTTAAACTGTGTAGTTATGAACTGCAACAATGTGACTGTATTGTATAAGAGCTTAATCTCATATCGTATTCTTCAAAAACGAAAAATACTACAAACCTGAACAGGAAGTGTAATTCTTGCCTTGGTAGACAAGTGTTTCTGCGTTTATAATCAATGCACATTTTGTGGCCTGTATACGAAAACGATCCGGACTTCACAGTATGACTCAGTACTTTCTTTGATATAGGTTACCATAGTAAATGAAGTGATTCTTATGAATCATGTTTTGTATTGTTTCACCAGAGTATAACCACGGAAAAGGCCATAGAATTATGTCCAAGTCAAATTTTGAATTATGTTAATCGGTGCAAGTTACTAAGTCGATTACATAATAATGTACATGAAGAAATGAGACACTGTGTTTCATCACATCTCCATACACTGAAGAGGGAGTTGAAATTACAATGCCAGTTTTGTATGTTATTTCCTTGAATACAAAACAAGTTGTGTAGCAAGTGAATAAACCGGGCAAAAAAATTCTTCTGAGCTAAACATTAAATGTAACTGGGCTACCAAATGAACTGAAAAAGAAGGCATGATGGGAAAGATGGATTTTGGTCACTTAATGATTGATGAATTTATTTGATTTTACAGGTAGCTGAAATAAAGAGAGTCAATAATTTTTACAGCGACCAAGATTTCTATGCTCTAAAGACTATCAAAATCCCAGTCCAACCACATGGATTATTGACTGAAATATCTGATAAGAGACAAAGACCCCCACCTATCAAAATACCTGGAAACCAGCCTTCTGTATCAGGAGATATTAATGATGACAATGATGAATCTGATTACGAGGAGAGTGGGCTCAATGGAGATTGTGTGAGAACTGTAAGCATTCGCTCTGCACTTGACTCACCAAACAGTTTTCTACAACATATGGACAATGACCTCAAGCTGATTTGCAAATCTACACCCTTACGAAAGAACAATCTCGATGAAGTCACTAGGACGTTGACAATTAATTGCATAAACCCGATAAAATTAAGAAAACAACAAGAAAAGACGCTCGGAACTGCTTGTGGCATTGGGTGGAAGGGAATCATAGTAACTGTGTTTGTTGTAGGTATCCTATTGCCAGGAATAGTGGCCTTTTTGTATCTAAGAAAAAGTGGCAGATGACCAGAAATATATTTTTATATTATGGCCCTTTTGACAGTATATTTAAAACTGGCTAGATGAAAGAATTACAGCAGTTGATGTCAGTAATTTCAGAAATTGAATTGTGAAAAGTGGATTTAACCATCAATGTACAGATATATTGAAAGTAAAATTAATACAGTATTTTATGGTAAGTAAATTAAACATACAATTTGATAATGTTTTATGATTCTCAACGAAACAAATTTGTGGTTCAGTCTGCCACCTTCTGCTAAAATATTTATTTCATCTAGTAATTTTGTTAATTATAATACGTAAAATGCTACATTATGCAAGAAAGGTTCTAAAACAGCATCAAGGACAAGCTTTTGTCCCCTCACTGTTTTAAGGACAGGTTAAGTTATCATTGAAAAAGCTCAATTCGAGGCGAATTAATTTTCTTTTATTTTAAAATCGGAAAGGTTGGTCTGAAGTCTTTTCTATGTACTTATAGTTACTGACTTCAGTTCTTCTTTAGAGGGTGCTAACAGCTATGTTTAGCTATGAGATGGGCCTAGTTTCTTAGCAGGCATTTTACGCATCAATAGACCCTTTGCATAAATGGTGCCTATATTTGAATAACAATACTTATACATCCTAAGCCTCACATTCATGTGAAAAATCCTTTGTCTGGAAACACAAGTACAAGGCTTAGGATGGATATAATATTGTTATTCAAATAGAGGTGCCATTTATGCAAAGGGTCTATTCTCATTAATGTCTGTTTCTTTTGACTGATAAAATTGCACTGCACCATGATTTGAAAATGGCTCAATTTTGATTTGACTTCTAAATAACTGAACATTTCAATAATTTGTCACAAGAACCATGATAAAAGTTCTGTTGAATACAACTAGCAGAATGCTTTGATTCTTACCTGTCGTAGCTTCTTGTAAGAGATTGGTGAATTCAGCTTGTTGTCAAATTCTTTCATAGTGCAAGTATCCTAGCTGCTTAAGTTGTCTATATGACTTCGATGATTATTTTGCATCTTTATATCCCATTCTCTCATAATGAAAAGCTTGACTGTATTCTTGCTAACTTTACATGTAACAAGTGATTGAGAAATAAATTGCAGCTAGCTGCCTTGCAGCAACCCAGATGGTCCAGATGGTTTGGTTTCCAAGCATAATTCATTTGTGACTGCGGCAAACTTCAGCAACTATATACATTGACTTTGTTACACCCTTAACTTATTTATGGCAATTTGATCTATCACTAGATGAGCTAAGAAGTGGTAGAGGCCATAATAACATGCTAACCTACAGCAAGCTCTCTTAGATTAGGGGATGGAGGCTCTTCATCCACCTTCTTCTTGAAGAGAGCTTGTTCACAAGCTAGAGATGGGTTACAGGGTTGCTCAGTCTTCTCTGCTCCCATGAGTATAAATTAACAGGGTTGTACCTAGACTCAATTACCAGCTGCTGTTTGGGAAAGGAGCCCGCACTCCTCCCTCAAAGGACGTTTGAGAGTTGAGAACCAGACCCAAGAGAGCGGCAGAAATCGAGCCTCAGAAGTGCAAACATTCTATTATTTTCATTTTTAATAAAAAGCCCAGCACGCTGCAATTCCTCACTCTAGGCAGAGGGAACAGGAATACTACATAGGGCTACATGATGCAAATAAATTTATAACTGCATTGGGTAATATTGACCCTCAAAATTTACAATTAAAGGGATTGTTACAGCTGAAGATTGAATAAATAGAATAAGTATGTACACAACATTGAGTGGTAATTACTCCTGGCTATTTCGTCTTGTCATTTTCTTCCAATTTTCGAGTTTTCACCTTTCTTTTTCTTAAATCAGTAATTGTCACCTCAAACTTTCGTGATAAGAGAAATTTAGTGCCTGTTGTTTTCGGATTGATAAAAATGTTTTGTTACCAGAAAAAGGTCAGCTGATTTTCGAAAAGGCAGTAAGACCTAAGGTTTTCGGGGAATAGACAAAATAGCCCTAAACATTTTCAAGTTTCCCAACTATGACCACAGATAAAAATTTTATAGCTCAGCCTAAAATTAACGTACAGAGCTTTAAGTATTCCGGCCGGTTAGCTTAAAACAACGTTTGAAGCATTCGATAGCCCATGGTCACCTATTAATTACCGCTGGGACTGCACCAGGCTGTTGACTTCTCTTTTTTTTTTCCAGAGAAACTTTTTGTCGCCCAGGCAACGTCTGAGGACCACACATCAATTTGTTCATAAATATTTCACTTGCTTCTCCAAGCACTGACATTTTATCCCCGATTGGAAGTGCAACTGATGCATCAATGCCGGGAGAGCTCATGACGTGGAAGACGTGACCAACAAGGGTCCTCCTAGACGGGGAGTTTTTTGCAACGATCACTTTCCACACTCGCCTGAACAAGGTCGTACAAAACACAACCTGTGGCCACCCGTAAAGGTCTTGTTTATAGGAAAAAAGCGTATTGAAGTTTGACGTCTAAATTTCGTAGAATTCTACTAGTATACTAATGCACAAATGCTGCAATCTGATTGGCTGAGCTAGTAGTATACTATCAGCCATTAGAGTGCAGTGGCTGTCGGTCATCCACGAAACGCGACGTTTTTCTCTTTTTTTCCGAAGTTTTGGAGGAAAGTTTAGATGTAAATGGTAATTAAATTTCTGAGAAGACTAAAAGAAGTACATTAACGGTTTCTTGACTTTAAAAACTTGAAAATATTGAAAAAATGGATGCGCACACGTACACAAGTTCAAATTTACCAAAGACAGTTCAATACGTGCGATGTTGTAAAAGCGTGAAGGACGATAATGTGTAGAAAAATAATTGGAAACCGTTATTTGCGTTAATTTCAGTTAGAATTCTACTAAAGCAATTAGATTATTCGCTCTCGACTTCTATGAGGCGATAGTTGATTCGGTCTTCGGCCTCATGAACTATCACCTCATAGAAATCTCTAGCTCATAATCTAATTGCTAAGTAGTATTCAGATGCCATGTAGTAAGGAGTGGCCGTCAATCCCAATCTATGTTATCTCCTTGAGCTTATCTTTCAAGTTTTGTCTCCTTTTCTGAACCTTGCACTGTTTAATTTATTTAATATATTTATTTTCTCCCCTGAAGGCACCCGAGACCCACAAGGCGTTGCTTTCAGTCAAGGGCGACACTTCGCTAAAACTCGCTACCTTCGATATATCCTCCATTTACCAAGCTATACCGATAGAAAAGATTTTTGCAAACCAGTTTTAAAGTCACCAACTGTGCGTTATTAACAATGAAAACTAAAAACACTTGTTTTCGATTCTTTAGCTTGTTTGAAATGAAGAGAAGATTCGTGTGGAAAATGCGCGCATACGATTCTTGTTCACGAGTTGAGCAGTGTCAGAAAAGATAGAAATACGAACGAGTGAGCGCAGCGACCAAGTTAGTCGTGATGCAACTCAATGAGCGCATTTAATGGTTCTGACATTTCTTTCATGCCAAGATTAGAAACAATGAAGGAAAATAAACAAAACGACTTAGAAGCGTGAACATGGTAAGTAATGATCACTAATTACAATAGCAGGGGAGCAAATACTTGGATGCTAGGAAAAACAGTCTCACATTTCTAATTAACAAATTAAAGTCAGTTTTTCATGTGTCTGTCCTGTTATTGATCATGAATTGTCAAAGTAGCTGTGGATTCACGAGGCGATAGCCAAGTGGATCAGCAGACTAGCTTTAACAATGTTATGACGAAATTCATTGTCAATAACAGGGCGGACGCATGAAAAACTGACGTCAATTTGTTTTTTTCGATAACGAATTGTTAAATTGTCCGTTCTCGCTTGTTGACGCATCGCATAAATTATAAATTCCTGTGTCTGTCCGCTTATTGACAATGAAAATCAGCCAATGAGCGCTAGAGAATTTCTGCAGTTGTTGTAAAAAACATGTATTGATACCATCTCAGCTACAGTCTAACTTTATTAATTAGACTGGCCTGAGTCGCTGATCAGCCGAAACTCGATGGACGTTTTGTCTGAGCGTTGGAGATTTGCAACTGTATAATTTATTACTAGGAAAATTACAAACCCGTCTTGAATATACAAACATCCATACCCGGATAACAGAGAAAACCGAAACTGCCGTAATTGTCAAAAGCTTCGCGTGCTCGCCAGAGATTTCATCTGCAATTGTAATTTACTAATAGCGAACTTGAGCAGCGACGCTTTTGAGGGGCGGACGCTAACCGGAAGTTGAAAGTTCTCCTTCCAGGTGTTCACTACAGCTTTTTGGTCAGCACTGTTTGGTTTAAAATACAAACACGACGACTTTCCAGTTGATCCCATGGCGTCAAAAGCGCGCTAAAATTAGCTCCATTCCTCCTCCGGTTGCCGTTCGCGTCTCAAAAACGTCGCTGCTAATATCTCTCCAGTAAGCTAGCTCCTACGGACGCTCCTACGTAGACAATCTTTGGGCTCGTCAAGTAATCACCGGGGCCTGAGCAATTTAGTCAGTCAGTCTGTCATTTTCTCTGCGCTTTCCCGTCCTTATCTTTCTTCAAGACTTAGTTTTGATTTGTCTGTAGCTGCACTTTCCGCTTCTGCACTTTGCTTGGTCTTTTTTTCGGTTTCCCTCTCCTCAATTTTCTTCAAAGCCTTACGATAGGCCCAGAACTCAGACTGTATCCTATTGTTCACCTCCTTCTTGTCCCTCAGTAACTTCTCGTACTTTGCTGCAAGCGTCTCCCAAGCTACTTTGGAATCCCAAACTTCGGTTTCTGAAATGAACTTCACTTGCTTCTCAAGATACTGGCATTCTATTCCAGATTTAAAGTGCGCCTGGTACAAATTAGAGGGCGCGTTTTGAATCTGTGGTATATTTACGATTGCTGTGAAGAGGAGCGAAGTCGTGGAGGTGGCAACCAAGAACGGTGCGAGGCGAGGATTGTTGGTGACCAGCACTTTCCAGTCCAATTTTGCCACCACGCTAGCTGCTGCTCCAAACGTTCCCGTGAAGAGAGACGCGTATTGAAGCCGGGTATCCCACATTCTGTAGTATCCTGAGGATATATAGTGAGAACTGGCTGTCACATGCAAGCTATGTTGCATAGTACGGAGTTCATTCCCTAACTTTTGCCGTTTCATTCGATCTTCTGCTGAAATGCCTGCGCCCATTTTGCCAATCGGAAGTGACTGGAGGCAGTAAGCAGTGCAAAACCGAAGGAACTAGATTTTTGCTTTCGAAACCAGAAGGAACGAGTAGTATTGAACGCAAAAAAAGAACCAAGAACTGAAAATATTAGCTCACATTTACAGCACTAGAACGAAGGATAATGACGTGTTTCGAAGCAAATACATTGATCACATCATAGTTAATAGAGGGGGATGGTTATGAAGCCCGGAAAACATCAAAGGAAGAAACAAAGATGCCAAGATTTATGTTGGAAGGTCCAAGACTTAACCAAAACGTTTCGATTAGTTAGTTCCTTGGTCAGTAGTAAAAAGCTACTGTGTTTTGTGCACGGTCAAGGCCAAAAAAAAGAACAAAAACATACAACAAAGAACCTTGGCGAGTTTCGTAACCATTCCCCTCTATTAACTGTGATCACACGATTTGCCTGATATACGGTATAAAGGATCCATCTATACGGAAAAGTGCTTCAGTCCTCAGTTTAGTCTAAGGTTATAATGATTTCAATGATAGACCCCATGATATCATTTGCTTCTTACCATTTAACTTAATAACCGAAAAAAAATTTACTTTCCTTCAAGGTTTCCTCAAACGAAGCAGCATTAAAATGAAATTCCAGTTGTGACAAGCTCAACACAACACACTAAAGAGAAGAAAGACAATCAGCAAAGGGGAACCAAGTCTTAAACTTAAAGGCTTAAAAACTATTGTACAAGAGCCTCGCTCGGAGACAGTGGTTGCGTTGCTATCTACGTTTGACGCTGCGATCAAAAAGATCTGGCGAGAAAAACAACTTGGAGTCTGAAGGTGCGGTCTTTATAATAAGAGAGCGAAACATCAAAGGAATACGTGTAACTCGTAAACTCAAGTCCAGTTTTGCACTTTATTCAATTTTATTCTCTTTTCCTATCTTCAATTTGCCTCAAGGATTCACGATAAGACCAGCTCAACTTGCTGTTCTCCTCCTTCTTGTACACGAGCATGCAGGTTTTCGTGGTACTTTTGCTGCCAGCGTCCCCCACGATGTCTTGGTATCCCAAACCTCCGTTTCTGAAACGATCTAAATTGGCCGGTGTATTCTGGATCATCGTTATTGGCAGATTTACGAAGACCAGTCGTAGAGGTTCCTACTAAGATCGCTGCTAGGCGAGGACTCTTTAAGATCAGCATTTTCCACGACTAAGCTTAGAAAACACAACTAGGATGAGAAAAACACAACTAAGCGCAAAAAAACGTTCCTGTGAAAAGAGAGACGTAGCGAAACCTGAGCTGGAGTCCCATTTTCCGTAGTATTCTGCAGCTATATAGTGAGATGCGGCTCTCACTTTCAAACTTTTTGGCATCTCCTGTAATTTTTGCCGCTTGCTTCGCTCATCTGAAGAAATACCTGTTTGTTGCCCCATTCGGTACGTGAAAGGAGTTACATTTTCTCTTTTGAAAACCGAGCGAACAAGGCAGAAATTAAGGAAGTGAGAAAAATTTATAAGGAAATAAGAACAATTATTTATATGCGGTTTGTTCAGACTTGTGCGGCGCAAAGAATACTGTACTTTATTCCGGGACTATTATTCCACTATTACTCCATTTTTCCATGTCAGGACGAGAGAACGCGCAAAATTTGAGGGGCTTGGAAAAATACTAGCCAGTTAGATTATGACAACAAAAGGTCCACCTTAGGAGATGTTATTAGAATTACTTTACGTCCAACAGTAAATTCAAAGCAGGACAAGTTGCAAATCAAGCGTGCGATTTCTAAGCGGCTTTTCGTGATCACAACTGTTGCTAAACTCAACATCTAACGATTAGATCACTTTATAAAGAACAAACAATTTCTATGCAACCGGCTGGGAAAATCTCGCCGGGCTACGGAAAACGACAAGTGTGTTGGAATCTCTGTGACCGACTGGGCAACAGAGCTCAACATTTGATTCCGCCATGATGACAACAAAACTTTCGGAGAACCCTAGATTTCGAGTACTCGCGCTAACGGTACTTCTCCTCCGACTAAATTGGGGACATTTTTCAAATTGTCAGTTATGAAATTTTTCGACAACAATAATGCAACAGTGAAAAAAAATATGAGGTCCGAGTTGGGGGCGGGGGGAAACTCCAATAGATCTCGTTTCATAATCTAATCCGCAAAGACGGCTTATGTTATGAACCTGAAATTGTGTAACAGTATACTCATCACGCAAAAGGAGTTTGGAAGCAAGAATAACAAATACGATTTACGTTCGAAAGCAAAACTATCATAAATAGTATTTTGTCAAAGTTCCCGTTTACGTTGAGTTTCCATCCGGAAGTGAATTCAAGTTTGATATTTACGTCCAAGGGGAAGTTGAGTTTATTCTGTGAATGTTTTCGTACCCTGATAACCAAACCTGATATTGTCAGAATCATCAGCTATCTCAGTCACTCGACAGAGGATCTCGGATTCACCTCCTGTTCTGATGAACTTTTCGCCTTTTTCTCCTTGTCTCTACTCTCGATTTTCTTCAAGGCCTTACGATAAGCCCAGTTCTCAGATTTAATTTTGCTGTTCACTTCCTTCTTATCCCTGAGAAACTTCTCGTACTTTGCGGCAAGCGTCTCCCAAGCTACTTTGGAATCCCAAACTTCCGTTTCAGAAAAGAACTTCATCTGCCTCTCTAGGTACTGGCATTCTATCCCAGATCTAAAGTGCGCCTGGTATAAATTGCCCGGCGTGTTCTGAATCTGCGGTAGATTTACGATAGCTGTTAGAAGGAGCGAAGTCGTGGAGGTGGCAACAACGATGGGCGCGAGGCGAGGAATGTTCGAGACCATCATTTTCCAAGCCAATTTTGAGGCCACACTAGCTCCGGCACCTATTGTTCCCGTAAAGAGGGACGCGTACTGCAGCCTGACATCCCAGTTTCTGTAGTGTTCTGTAGATATATAGTGAGACGTCGACGTCACGTGCAAGCTGTTCTGCATCTTACGGAGTTCATTCTGTAAGTTTTGACGTTTCATCCGATCTTCCTCCGTGATTCTTTGGGATGAAATACCTGCACCCATAGCGCCGTTGAACTGAGCGAGTCGGTAGGAAATCGAAGAAAAAATAACTTTCATTTTCAACAAACGGGGAGAATTAAGCGGATGCTGAAACGATATCCTTTACAAAGGAAAGGAAATTGAAAGTTCAAACTGAAATAATTTTAATCAATATTCCCCACATTTAAGTCATTTAACAGACGGGAAAATCCAAATTTAGCGTGTGGGTATTCTGTACGACTCATCCAGACAAGAAGTAAGGATGAGTGTTTTTCCGTCAGCTATAGCAGGCAAGGGACGGGAGATCTTACTGAAACAAGATAGAGAATGCTCTCATTGTTATCTGTTAACAGAATTCTTTTCTAAAACGGAGAATGACAACCGTCTGCTCTGCTGTCCGAGGCGATGCATGACCTTTTTGCGACCCAATGTTGATCATCGATAGATTCACTTCCGGTTCGCCTCCTTATTGCCATCAAGGGAAGGAACTGGTTAGCTTCTAACGTTTCCAAGACCTTCCACGTGATCCTGAGCTGTTTAACTCCGAGGTTAGTGTCCTGAGCACGAGACTGGATCACCAATCAAAGTCTCCAACGACGGGATAAGCCTGAAAGTCACAGATTTTCTCGCCATCTGGCGAATAGTGGAGACCTTTGAAACAGGTGGCACAGAAAAAGCAGGGTTCCTCGCATGCCAAGGCATCGTTCACTGTCACCCATCTGAAATAAGCAATGAGTAAAAATGACAAGAATTAGTAAAGATAATTTTCATTTTCGGTCGAAGGATTTGAAGCGAGATAAATTATTTCACTTCGCTTGAACGAGTCAGCCCATGAGTTACAAAATTAATAACCCGGAAATTGAAAGGAGGATCAATGAAGAGCAACTCTTAATACTTGAGAAAAATAGTCGTGAACAAAGGGGTAAAATAATATGAAAAAGAATATGTTTCAAAGTTCCACCCAAATCAAATAACCTTGCGGCTGGACTAAAAGCCAGAAGGGTTTCCTATTTTAGTAACAGGGCCACCACGAAAGCGAAATAGAAAATAGCATTAAGTTACAGTATTTCAATGTTAAGAACTCGGGAGTATCAACATGCAATTTTCCCGGCAGATTGTGATAGATGAGGTGGCAAGGGAAGATCCCACCACAGCAGAGCACAAGTAATCTTACTTTGCGGTGTAAACATCACACACTCGGCAACGAATTCTTTTTCCTCGATGTTTGAACACTTGCAGTGGGTATTCGTTCTGGTTCGGTTCATCATCCACATCCAACAGTCTGAAAGACACAAGAAAATGCTGAGACTCTTTAAGCAATCACTTTCAAACGATCATGTACTTTTGACGGAGCTTCAGTTATTGATAGACTGACTGATTGTCTGTCTGTCTGTCTGTCTGTCTGTTTGTCTGTCTGGCTGGCTGACTGGCTGACTGGCGGACAGGCTGACAGGCTGACTGACTGACTGACTGACTGGCTGGCTTGCTATGAGAGGTTAACTGACTTGCTGGCTTTCTTACTGACTTCTTGACTGTCTTACCATCTGTCTGTCTGCTTGTTGGTCTGAATATCTGACTTACTGTCTTTCTGGTTGGCTGGCTGAGAAAAGGATTCATGAGAAAAGGATTCATGTATGGACAAAAAGACAGGGACTGACTGAATGACAAATGAACCATCAAACAGATAAAATATTGACTGATAGCTAATGATCTGTGCATGAAAAGATGAGAATGGAGGGATGGTCAGCCTTCCTATGTGACTGTCTGAGTGGCTGGCCCAGTAAATTCAGCATTGGATTCATATGGCGATACACGCACTTACCTCAGATCAGTAAAAATCAGTAAATGTTCGCAGTTTCCCTGATGGCAATATAAATATGGATATCCTAACTTGACCTTTAGGTCTTCAAACACCACATCTTCCATGCGCTTACTGGTGAATAAGCCAAGCCCAGGGCACTTTCTTCTTTGAGGGTCTTTAGCCCAGTCAATGATAACCCTTATCAAGTAAAGACATCAAGCATTACAAATGTTATTACAGTCACATTAATTTAATTATCACCACAAAAATTTACTTAATACTTACTTGCTGTAATCCCTTGACACTGGATCTCGTTTGTCATTGTAAAACACTCCCTCTATGAAAAAGAAGCCAGACTTGAAGATATCCTGATAATAAAACAGAATTATATTAATTGAGAATATCAACTAAACTAAAAGCAAACCTGTGGCAGTGGTGTATATGCACCACACAAGGTTGAAAGAACAAGAAACAACTGTTGTTGCCACCCACTTGTTAGTGTGCATCCACCCTGTCTCCTCAGGAAAGAAAGACTCCTAAGGGAGGCAGCGTGGCTGAGTGGTCAGCGTGTCGGACTCGCAATCTAGCGGTCCTGGGTTAGAGTCCCGCTCTGGCCACTACCTGGATTTGTTTCTCAGTANAGTTGTATAATGCCAACAACAACAACAACAATAATACGAACCTTGGCTGTTGATTGAGACAGCTGGTCTGGATTATCACTGTGATCCCCAAGTATCATGCCATCGGCTGTACAAAAGATCTTGTCACGCATTTCTGTAAGACACTTGGTACAACAGCGCAACAAAATTAAAACAGATTTTTAATTTATCTTGTGTAGCTAATGGAAACAGCCCTTTTTTGATATGGGTAACTTTTCTCATTGCCATTAATTAGAATGAAATCGGTACGTAAGGCAGTTTCAAGCATAAAATTAATTACAAAATTGCCCAGACTGCCTTGTATCCACCTTGGATTACATTGTAAAATTATATGCCAATGAGAAAAGGTAACTGTTAAAAAGGCTTCTGGTGAACCCTTAGCCACCTTGAGAAAGGTACAATGGGTGGCAAAAGAAGTTGAGAAAATTTTAGAGAATGACACTTCATAATATCTAATGGCCCCTTATTCCATTTCATATGCATCTATAAGTGATAATTCTCTAGTATCCCCAGCTCCTCAAAGGAGGGAGTTGGGGAATGTGTCCAAGATGCTCAAAAATAGAATTCTACAGTGAAGTAGAAAGGTACAATGGGGGCAAAAGTAGTTGAGACACTCTTAAAAAATGACACTTCATGATATTTTTATAACTACTTATTCTATTTCATGTGCATCTAGTGATAACTCTCTGGTATTCCCAGCCCCTAAAGGGGGGAGGGGGGAGGGGGGGTGAATATGACTGTGTGTCCAAGATGCTCAAAAACAGAATTCTACAGTGAAGAATTTCTACACTTCAGTCATTGTGAAAAGGGCTCGTTCAATAATCTAAATTATCCATTATACCTGACTTCCCAGCACAAGGAATTCTTGAACTTTGTTTTGCTGAAGTGGGAAAAAACATTAATTGACTTGTGACTTACTACAAAAGAGATCAGACACTTAAGACAGGCCGGAATTGTACTTTTTCATTTTACACCCTGAGCTGAGAGAGAAAACCGGAGTTAATCATGTATCTCCAGCAAAAAATTTCTGCACAAGTCTTCTAATTTTGCTACCAACTTCAAGTTTTGTTATTTAAGACACTGTAATTGTCATTATTATGTGTTGTGGTCTATCGTGGGCTTAAACTCAAGACCTAATTTATTGAGAAGTTAATGATATATAAGGCAAACAATTAAGATGGATTCTGCTCAAAGTTTGAGCAATAAGTGCAAAATTATTTACTAAAAATCTACTCATAGCATGGTAACTTTTTGAATACTATTTAAAACAACTCACTTTAACTAATTTCTCTAATTGACCTTGTGATTAAATTCTCAAGCATTCTTGAGAAATTTAATGTCAAACCTTGTAAGAATGCTTAATGCACGTGTGCTATTGTGTATTCAACTAACGCAAAATGTCCATTTTAATTAAATTATGGATAACTTAGAGTTCAATTTTTTGTCGCGGGGTCAGCTTGAGAGCGTAAGTCTCAATAAGTTCTTCTTACCTTTATTCAAAATATTAACATGCCATAAGGTTTTTTTGGTAACTTTATTTTTGCCATTATTGCTCGAATGTTCTGCCGAAATCATCGTAACTTTCCCACAATTTACTTCTGGCAAGCACATCACATGGACTAATGCTGCCTACTCTTATTATCTAGTGTAAACATATATCATTCTATCTGACTGCTTTCAGGCAGGGAGCATATCTGTATTTCAGTTTAAACGGTAGTATGGGGCACTAATATTATTCACACAGCCATTCACTGCACTAATATAATTAGTGCAGTGAATGGCTGTGCGAATAATGTAATAATTATGAAACACTTAATTGCAAACCTTTCTGGGATGACAAATAGCAACAGACAGGATAACCTCATTCATCTTTATCTCTTGAAATGCTTGAGGTTCCTTGGAGGGCCGTACTTCCTGCAAACAATCAATCAATCAATCATTACAATCAACTTTTATTGTGCATTATTTACAGAATTAATTTACATCAGTATTACAAAATTAACATGAGAAGAGAAATACATGTTGCTTATGGCTATGAAAAAAATAAAAAATATGTCTGTGGTAACCACAATTATTTGGAATGTCTGACCACACACAAGCATAGTAAGCTTCCTAATGTAAACCTCACCCCTCCAGCAACAATATACAAAAACACAAAACATGTATTAATTAACAAATACATGACATAAATTATTTCATTTGTAGTTATAAAAATATTTGAATGCTACAATAACACAGCTGAATGGAATTTACAGGCATGATAGTGATGAAGAACTTTAGTTTCAAACGATCCGTGTTTCCAATAAATTTCCTTGTAACCCTACCCCAAGAAAAGTCACTGGAAATTCCAGGGGGGGGGGGGAAGGAAGAGTTTTCAAAAGCCCTGAATTTCATAAGGGTATAGGTATTTAAAGTAAAGACCCTTACTTGGGAGGCCAGAGATGGAATGCCAATATTTTCTGGAAAACACAATCTACACTAGACAACTGTACCAGCATACATGAGACAATACCTTTATAAGATAATTCACTTGTTTTCGGTGTGAAGTTAGTTGTCCTTTCCTTTCTTTCAACAGCCTGTTAGAAGCAGTACTTGATATTATCTTATCATCTACAAACTAACAAAACTTTTTTCAGCCTATCAGTTTATTTTGTTCAATTTTACATGTACAGCGATTGATGTTGGTTTTACAACACTCTTGAAATTGAAAACTGCTCCAGTATGGGCCACAGCAGGCAGCAGCTCACTTGGTACCAAGGAAACCAGAATTCACAAAATATACATAAGCTTTACCTCTACAAATGCAAAAAGCTCCATAGTATGGAAAATACACTCCACACCTTAATATAGGGGTTCAACTGTACTTTAATTGAGAGTTACAAGTCAACCATCAGGATGCGGCTTTCTAGCCTCCATATCACAGTTACATACATACATACATATACTTTATTTAACCTCGAATTTACAGAGTAGCTTGTTAGCTAATATCTTCCAGAGAAATAAATATTAGAAAGAAAAAGTAAATAGATAAAATAAAATAAAATAAAATGAAATACAATTACAGTTCTATTATCATTTATACACTATATATATTTACACTTTGGAAAGGCCTCATATTTAAGGATCTTTTGCTTGAATTGAAGAAATTTTTGTTTGAATTGAAGAAAACTGTGTATAAACATTGTCAGATGAGACCATGATTTAAGGTATTATTTCATGCCATTGGCAAGAAACCTTCGGATTTTAAAGAATTTTAAAGACCTGTCAACAGTCCTGAAAAGTTACAGGTTCAAGACATGCAGCAATTCTTAGGGCCTTAGTCAGCCACACCTTTGTTTTTGTTTGTATGTGAGAGTTTGGCTATTATAGTTTATTCAGAGCATGTTGAAATGAAGGAAATCATTGTGGAACTACTAAAGTTATTAAACACCCTTTCAGGGACACAACGTGTGGTAAAGCACAAAAAATGGTGGAAGCTGACTAGGGTCCTTTACAAGGCCTCATATTTAAGGATCTTTTGCTTGAATTGAAGAAATTTTTGCTTGAATTGCTGGGCTTGTTAAAGCGTACAGTTGGCAGTAAGAACAAAGAAATTTTCTCTATGCTTTACAAGTCATTGGTGAGACCGATCCTAG